AGGGTTTGGAGTGAGGAAGGGAAGTGGTAAATGATCTAATTATAAACTCAAAAAGATAACTTAAAAAGCAGGACTATTTCTGTATATCTCTTTTGAAAGGAAGTAGAGCATACCGGGAGCTGGCATACTTGTGTGCTGAGTCTCACGTGTTGTGTGAAGTACTCTAATCAGATGTGGTGGGGCTACTGGCCCGTGAGTAGTTGCCAGACTAAACTCAGAGTCCAGTTAAAGTTTTATTTCAGTTGGAAACAATGTTTCTTATTATACTGCTAATATTGTACAATATATAAATTATTTGTTGCTAATCTGAGATTCAAACATAACTGCAGTTTCTATTTTATAAAATGGCAATTATAGGGGAGGGACTGGGGGAGCAAAGCAGCTTGTTTTTCACGGTAGTTAGGTGAAAACATCCAATATTGATCAGTGCTAGTTGGAGAGGGTTGAAATTAGGGCTGTTGGCTGTAAATAGCAGAAGCTTATTTGGGTAAACTAAGAGGGAAAGAATGCAGAACCATGTGGGACACATGCAGAACCAGGCTTGGGAAGGTACTCATCAAGAGTGCTGGGAAGTCAATGGCTCAGTCAGGGCCATGTTAGGGAAGGGCCTGGTTTGGGAGGTGCCTCTGTAGTCACGGTCTCTTTTTATTTCTGTTGTGGCTGTCAGTTCTGCTGTCAATAAACTATCTCCTTGACTTTGCACCTCTGAGCTATTCCTTCAAAGTTAACAGTTCAGGGGGGAGCATCTTAACTCACGAGCCCCAGTAATTATCAAGCAGGGGACAGAGGAAGTAATGCCTAACTTTGGCTTTCTAGAAGCTGATTTCTATTTTCTATCAAGTCTTAAAAATGGAAAAAGATTGCCCAAATAGTAAAGAATATTAAGTTGAAGTTTTAAGATAAGAGTAACATATACTGTTGAGGGCTGAGATGGTCTCAGCATCATGGGAGTTTAAAAGTGGCAGCATGGGCTTGTGGGAGATATGAGTTCGGCTTTCCAGCCACACTATGCCTTTAACTGGCTCTGTGGGTCAATTGGTCTCCCTTAACTTCAGTTTTCTGAAAAGTCAGTGATTTTTAGATTTTTTTTTTAATTTCACTACCCAGTAAAATTCAAAAGTAATTTTGGAGATATATAATTATCTTGTCATTTTCTACTTTGTTAATTGAAAATGTAATTTCAAATAACTACCAGCTACCATCATCATTTTATAAAATAAACTACATTTTAATCATAATCCCCAAATACGAAGTGTGTAATCTCAGAATATTGACACCTTCCTTAGTTGAGCTTGACTTTTAGGAAAGCCTGCTCTGTTGGCTTTTTCTTATTTTCCAATTTCAGTCGGATCAATGAGAGCCTGCACAGTAACAGTTAGTACCTGTGAGCATCAGCAGTGGCTTTTAATGTCCTTTCCAGCATTAAAATTCCGTCGATTTCTGAACACTAGAGAGGGGGAGGTTTGTAGCAGGCTTGTAGCATCACAAGCTATTCCGTTTCGGTCCCTGGGTAAGCCTTTGTTAGATAATCTGCAATGCATGGCATACAGGCTACTTTTAATGTGCATTTAAAACTCTTGAATGGCAAGAGGAAGCCTTTGGGACGGGGAAAACTCACCTCTCTACATTGCTTAATGTTACTGTCTTAGAAGTGCCCAGAGACTTTGGCAGTGAGTATGTTTCTATAAATCTTAAAAATCGATTAGTTAATCAATATGTTGGGAGGGCCAGTAGATGTGCCCACTTACGGGACGAAAGGCCTCATCCAGCTTGGCCTTGCTCGTTATTGAGACATTGATAAACTAAGACTATACAGAGGATTATGGAGATAACTATAGTCTCATTTTTTTCTTTCCACCCTTTGAAAAAACACTTCGTACTTTGAGAGGGCAGCTGGGAATGAGGAGTTGAATGGACGCATTTGGAAGGAAGGAAACCATAGATAAACTTACAAACATGCAGAAGCACTAAGGAAAGAACAGCTCACTGAGTGGGCAGAGTAGTGAACAGTGTTCCGTACCAGAACGAGGGAAGCGTTGGCTCTAAGAATGTAAGTTTCTCATAACAAGGACTGTGACGAGGCCCTTTCTGTGTATTTAGAGCCAAGCAGAAGAAAGACGGAAAGGTTTAATTTATGGCAGTAAACTGCCTTCCTCAGGGACCCAGCGTCCTGCGGCAGCTGTTTACGCACCTACAATCTGTCATTCTGTTCTCCTTTGTAGGTTTGTGCTGAGCCATTTTGGTTGGGCCCTTTCTTCCCCCCATTCCTCTCCTCTGTGATTATCTCTTTTTAAAATCTCACCTTGTAAGTCCAGTTTGCTTTCTTCTTGGTGTGGACGGGTTAGTTTCACAATGTGTCCATGTTACTCATTCTAATGGTTCAGGGGCCATTCTCCCTTGCCTGCTTAGAGGGTAGCTAATTTTATCACAACTATCCGTTAAAAAAATCTATCTTTAACTCATATTTTCACTTCTTAGTGACCTATGACTGAAGAACATTTGGTAGTCAAGCCACCATGACTTCTTCCTGGTTCATCCCATTCTGGACATGCATATGTGCATGTATGTACAGGGATTAGAGGTCATTCCAAGCGTCTGCTTTGGACAGCTAATATCTGTTAACAAAGAGAAAGCAAACAGAAGGATACCAAAAGGAGGGTAAACTATACAAAAACATTTTTCTTTTACTCAGTATAATAAATAATCCATAGATGTCACCTTTTCCCTTTGACCATGGGTTTCCTGGGAGCACAGCAAATAAACCACAGGAACACTGTTGTGTTGAACTTTTTTCGAAGGGCGGGGCAATGGAGTCAGAACTGCCAAAACTTCTGTGTGAGTCCAGCTGTGGATTTTCATGAAATTCACTTTTGCTGCCCTTTGCCTCTGGCTGCCTTGTGTCTGTGTGACCGATTCTATGGGGGAATCATCACCAACACTGCTTTTGAAATCATTTAATGACACAGATGTGTTGTGGAATATTCTTTTAAGATGTGTTACCTTTGCTTTTGCTGTGGAACATTTGTTTAACGACGCAAAGATGTGTTGCTTTCTTTTATGCTGCATTTGATTAACTCTATGAAGCTGTGATTCTTTGCCTGTCTAAACTACCTGACCGGTTTAATAAAGAGCTGAACAGCCATAGCCAGGCAGGAGAAAGATAGGCAGGTCTGGCAGGCAGAGAGAATAAATAGGAGGAGAAATCTTGGGAAAGGAAGGTTGAGGGGGAAAAAAAGAAGGAGAGGAGGACACCAGGGGCCAGCCACCCAGCCAGCCAAGGAGTAAGAAGTAAAGAAAGGTTTATAGAAAAGAGAAAGATAAAAGCCTAGAAGCAAAAGTTAGATTGGATAATTTGTTAAGAAAAGCTGATAAGAAATAAACCATGCTAAGGGAGGACATTCATAAGAAAGAATAAGCCTCCATATAATTTATTTGGGAGTGGGTTGGTGGCCCCCCAAAGAAGAAAGAGCCAGAAGAGTCAAAGAGTAAAAACCAACCAGCTACACAGTGGTCATCTTCCAAGCCTGTGAACTATTGATTCTTTATCACATTTTCTTGACTTTCAGGTGAGCCTAGCACTATTTTTATTCGGGGATTTAGTTTTATTTGTAGATTGTAATATTGAAAAACAGGCTAATTTTAATTTCAGGTTTTTGCACTTTTTTAGACAATTCTAATTTCTGAGTCTTTAACACGTAGAATATTCTGGCACATAAAGTGCTTATAAGATATTTGCGAAATATGGGATGCTACAGTTTAAATGATGACTGGATTTTTAAAGAGCCCATGTTGCATGCTTGCCCCATAAACTAGCTCTAGAATCTTCTATATGGAAAGAAGGCTTAAAGCAACTCTGGCTGTTTTTTGTTGTTGTTGTTGTTGTTGTTATTTTTTTCTTTTATCTTTCCTTTCTCCCACCAGTGAGGGTAGAGGCGTCAATATTTCTTCCTTTTAAGGCTGTACTTGGAGCTTGTTTCTTTGTCTGTTCATTATGCTACATGGGCAGTCAGATTTTGGTGAAGCTGATACGCAGATCTCCATATCACTTTATGAAATATTTGCTGAAGGTCACCAAATGCATGGAGATTTGAATTTTAAATATTATGGGTTTAACTGCATTAAAAAAAATGACTGAGTGGTGGTGGCTCACGACTTTCATCCCAGTGCTCAGGAGGCAGAGGCAGGCAGATCTCTGTGAATTTGAGGCCACCCTGGTCTAAAATGGGAGTTCCAGATAACCAGGGTTACTACAGGATGAGTCTACTTTTCTTTTAAATAAGTAAATTGCATAACAAAAATTAATTCACTGCTCCTATCTGTATGTTTTAGACGTATAAATTTGTAATTTATGCAAGATGCTACACAGAGCAACCGAAAGAGACCTGGCAGAGCTCTCTGTGAGAGTTGGCTCCCAGCTGGGCTAAGCAGCAGACTGCACTGGTTCTCAACTGTGTCTGTGCATTGCCATGTCTCACCTTCCAGCTTCTGGTTCTTGGGGAGTCTCGTCTTTCGTTTTGGCGATCCTGTGGTGCTGTTGTTGTGGGGTTCCATGTCCTACCTAGGCAAGATTGAACCTGTGGTTCCAAATGCTTGATTTAAGCACACCTTGCCCCAGTACCACTGTTTGGACTAGAGTAAGGAGAATTCCTCGATACCTTTGGGTGGACAGTTAGGAGATCAGGCGGAGAATAAAGCCAAGTGAGATAGGCAGGGGACAAGACTGAATCAACTGTGTTTGCTCTGCACAAGATGACCTCCCATTAAGTAATGAAATATGGCGTCTTGTCACTTAGTCACACGAGTTGAATTTCTGTAATATGCAATGAAAAGCATCCCAGTGAATCTGGTAATTCCTTTCCTCAACCTTTGGGGTTCTAATGATGCTGAAATAAATGCTTACACTTTGAGGGACAGGTGTACCTGAGTGCAAGACATACTTAGCCCTGAAGTTCATGTCAAACAAGTCTTTATTTTTCATGATACAAATTAAAAGTGACAGATCTGAAGCTGTTAAGAAATACACAAAGTGCAGCTTTACCAACCATACAGATATTGCTCTAGATTAAGTACAGTTTTTATTTTTAAACATTAAGCAACCTGTGCAGATAAGTCAGCTTTGGTTTCAATGTTAGAACAAGTAAGGAGCTTTTCAATATCCAGTTTGGCTTCTTGGTCACAAGTCTATCATGTCATTATCTCGTCATGATGATTTTATTTTTTCCAGAACAACCCAGTCTTTTCCTGCCCTCTCTCCTGCTGCCTGCTCCAGGCATGGAGAAGCAGATTTCTTCGCAGTGCCTCATTAAGTGACCCTGGTGACCAGTCTAGATCACAGCACAGAGGACAAAATCATGAAAAAGAAAGCTTAAAAAAAATCACTTTTCAACAACGAATAAGCCAATGTGCCTCACATAATGTCAGTTTGAAGGCAAGCAAATCACATGACAAAAAGCTCATTACAAAATATCTTCCAAACAGATTTTACAGTCAGACATGGAAATAAAAATCAATTTCCTTTTTCGCCATTGTTTTTATGCTTGATCATTAACTGGGTACAAGTAGAGTGCTGAGGTAAAACATTGATGAACAGTTTGTGATTTTCTTTCTCTTAAAATAGGAACAGTTTAGTATTGCAAGATTGTCAGCAACATTTAGCCATATCTACACAATGTGCATATACCTACACATACTGAGCTTTGGTCCAGCGTAGAGAAGAGAGCAAAGGCAATTGGATTTCTTTTTGGTTACAGCTTGAGTTCTTTGATGCGCCTCCACTTGTTTTGTTCTGCTTCCCACAGCTCCTTCTGCTTTTTGTTCTCCTTTGTGTTGTGTTGTGTGTGTGACTGTGTGATCACGACATAAAGAGTCCAAAACTTGCAAAGGCAGGTGAAACTTTTAACTATTCAAAATATCTTTTTGGTTGAGAGAAAAAACAACCCCGCAAGCAAGTGTAAAATACAATATTGGCTGTCATTTCTCATCAATGATGAAGAAAATGAAGATGACAACGATTTAAAGAATGTGAGAGAAAGATTACAGAAGCTTGAACTACGATGCGGATGCCCAAAGTGGCTTTTACTTTTTGTTGGTGGCAACCTTAACCTTCAGTTCATGGAAACATAAAAGACACTTAGATGTTATTGGCGTATGAAGTTGTTTACCAAAGGAAAGAAGAAATGTCTAATAAAACTAAGCAGTAGGTGTGGTCCTGAAGGCTTGTGTGTTCCCAAGTACAGTTTATATTCCTAAGAATCTGTTCAGGCATCTTTTTTTTTGCCTTGTAGCAAAAAATTCATCAGTAAAAAAATCAATATAAGAAGCATTACAACACTATATAAATAATTTATAAAACAATACAAAATTATAAAACTATAAAAAAATCACTGCACATGAATAGTTTTACAACCATGGGATGGATTCATTTCTCTTTTGTTCTACTCCGGGTGATTACTTTTATTTTATATTTTCACTACCCTAGTTATGCTCCCCCAAGTACAGATCTCAGAGCTGGGCAGACCTCATGGGCCCGCTGCCCGTTCCGATTTAAACATTTACCACCCGTCATAGGTTATCTTGTTAACTTCTCCTCTTGGGGAGCTTTTCTTGATTTGATGGAATTTGGAGCAGGTCCTAGGAGAATACAAAATCTGTTTTAATCAATAAAGTTTTCGGTTTCTGGGTTGCTGGTATCTGTGCAGTTTTTTGCAGTGGTGAAATGCTACCATGGTGTTGGCACTGATGGGGTTGGTTGTGGTCCAATTAGCATCAGACTGGTGGCACAGAAACACTTTTATTAATGACTCTCTCACTTCCAGGATTATTGTTACTTAGTTTCCTTGTTGGAACTTTATGGTTGCTGATTGAACCAGCTGAGGGAACTGTTACATTGCCCCATTTTCATAACCAGCAAAGGAGCCAACACAACGGAAAAACTAGAACCCTGGGTGGGAGGCGTGTGCTAGGGGAAGGGGATCATGGTCTTTGTCATCAACTCGGCAACGGGAGGTGGGGTTTCTCTTTACCTTTCATGATTTGCCTCTAGGCAGTAAATGAGCATGCTTTTTAATTACTCATGAATATTTACATTTTGACAACAAGCAGATCAATGATTCTCTTTTGCCTTCTTTGGTAGAGCCCTCTACCTTTATCTGGGTGATAATGTTTGCAGGTCCCGGGAGTCTCTTGCCCTTCCATCCTCCCCCTTAGTTCATTCTGTGGGCTTCTTGGGTCTCAATGGCCATACCTTGGGGAAGTTCTTTTAAAAAAATGAATTAATATACTGGTTCTAATAGTGAAGTCTTTTCTGATATGTTTTATGAGCTGCTTCTGTATATTTTTCCTTTCTTGGGGGATGTTTTTGCTAATACTTCTTTTCTAGTCAAGAAGTCAGAGCCCAATCCCAATAGCTTAAATTTGCCTGTTACATTTCTGCCCCATTTATAAATTCACGAACAGTTGTACCCCAGCTCCAAATGTCTGCCAACACCGTCTGATGAAGGAAATTGCAGACAAGGTGAGGCTAACAGGATATTTGGCAACCCCTAACAATCTAGGTCACCGTCATTTTCTTTGTGGCTTGTCTCTTTGTGCAAGGTGGATGGGTATGAACATGCTTATGTGTGTGTGTGTGTGTGTGTGTGTGTGCGTGCATGTGCACATGTGCATACATGTGTGTTGGTTGAAACCTTGAGACATTTCTTTGGCTATCAGACTTCTGAGAGAAATTGCTTTGAGCAGAAGCAAAACACAGATGTAAGTATTGAACCATATGTGCAGTTTATGTTTGTATTACAGAATTAGTTTTGATCAGCTCTCCACAAGTGTGGCTAGCAGACTTGAGAAAAATCTCAATGTCCCGTGTGGAATGTGAGCGCAATTACAGCCTCTGCTGATGTTGACAGTCACCCAGCAAAGCCCTAGTTATTCTGGAGTCTTTCCTGCATCTCTGCAGGAGTGGAGTGGAAAATACACCTTTTCTTCTCACTTCTGCTACCTTTCTGAAGATCCCCGGAGCCACAAAAGGAAGAAAGGGAGGTGTGAACTCCATTATCTTTCTCAGACCTACAGCTCACAATGAGAAATGCCATGGATGCTTTGGCACACAATTCAGGTTGCCCCCCACCCCCAGCCAAAACAAAACAAAAGGAAATAACACAATTAAGGAAAAAAAACCCAACAAAACAAAAACTCACTTCTGCTAAGAAACACATTGCTAGAGAGTGAACCATACAGAATGATTTCCAAAAACGTCCCTGGTGGCAGAGACAACCGGTAAGAAAGATGGGAGAAAGCAGGCTTCCTACTTTTTTGTTGGTACAAATGTAAAAATTCAAAACCCAGCTTTACACGCCGAGGCAAGAAGACAAGCAACAGCGTTCGCAGTGTTTCTGACTTTGGTTAATAGGTTTTGCAGTGATCAGCACTTCGTCCCTGAAGGGTTGCGGGCCCTCCTCCAGGTGGCAGGCTTGCATTCGCTTTGAACAGATAGAAGTTTGTGGTGACTTTTTGTTGTTTTGTTTTGTTTTTTGTTTTTTGTTTTTTGTTTTTTTTGGTTTCGTCTTTTTTTCATTTTCCTTAAAAGGTGTTCACATTTTCATCATATACAGAAAAAAGTAAGTGGATATTTGGTTTGCTTTAAAAAACTGGCTTTGCGGAGACAGGTTGGGGAGGGAATGATCCTACCACATACTCCTTCCATGTGGTGTAGTTCCTGTTTACAAATTTAAAATTTCCTTTTCTTCTTCCTTTTGGAAAGCCAACGAACATGTATAAACCATCCTGCCCATTTGTTAGGTTTTTTGTTTCTTTTTCCTTTTCCTTTTGAGTCTTTTACATACAAGGGAAATGATGACTGGGGGTGTCTTTAATCCTTTCTTCTTCTTTGCGGAGATTCAGGGTAGTTTCTGCAGTGCTTCCTTCTGACCATGGATGGGCGAGTCTAGCAGTTTTCTTCAGGCGAATCAGCTAAGGGCTCCAGCGGGACCGCCGAAGTGGGCTCATGTTGTTTTAAGCGCTTAATTGTGTTCTTCAGGGCTTGTCTCTTATTGCAGAACCAAACTCTAACTACTTCCCGGTCATAGTTTAGCTTCTCAGCAATCTCGGTCATTTCCTGCCCTGAGGGGTGTGTGTTCTTCTCAAAGTGGGCATTGAGGATCTCAAGGGCCTGGGGTGTGAAGGAGGTGCGCCGCTTGCGCTTTTTGGATGGCTCACTCCCAATAAACTCCGTGAGGTTCTGCATACCTGCCCGATGGCGGGCCTCAGCCTCAGCCATCCACCGCTCAAGCACCGGCTTGATCTTCTGGGCACTTTTAGGGGTGATGTCCAGCTTTTCAAACCTGGCAGGATACAAAAGGCCAGGGTTCAGTTTGGCTGTCAGACTGCTAGCTATAGTGTTCTCTTGGGCTTCCTGCGGTAGGAAAAAGTGGCTTCTCAGGATGGTGTGTCTGGGGGGAGAATTGAGAAAGAACAGTCTTACACTGAGTCCTCTGCCAGGGTGGGCCTCCTGCCTGCCTGCCTGCCTGCCTGAGTGCCTGGCAGGGTGAATTTACTCCAGATTAGCAGCCAGCTGCAAGGTAGCCAGCCCTGTCCCAGCCAGCACCCACCCTCCCAGCGAGCTCCATGCCAGCCATGCAGATCCCCGAGCACACGGACAGGGGAGGGGGAAAAAAGCACCGGCACACGCTATGGAAACACAAGCAACTCGCAGGCCTTTTCTCTCTAAACTCTGAGATCTAAGCTGCCGTCTCGGCTGCTCCCGGCTTTATTTCCCCAGCCCTCAGAATTCTTAAGGCAGACATTAACCACGAAAGTGACATTCAAGATAACAGTTGTCATATTCTTTTACTGAAAACGATCATGCTTTGCATTTGGGTTTCCTCTCTATTGTGTTGGTTTTGAAAAATGTTACAGCTGTTATCATAGTTTGGCGTGGCTTACTGGGCCAAGCTCCTCTTCATGCCTCTCTTTTTTTTATCTCCTCTTGTGTCTTATTTTAACTTCTTTCTCTCTGGTAACAATTTTCCCCATATGTAACTTAACAACATGCCTCCCTGTCCAGGTAAAATACAGACCAGCTGTTACTTTACAGCTCTGGCCTAAACAGCTGGATACATTGTAATTACTATGGAATGCCCCACCCCTGGGTGGGCTTAGGCCACCTTGTGGCTTCCAATCACCCTCCAGTGTAATGGTGCACTTTTGTCCCAGAGCATCCTGCTGTGTTTAATGTGGGATATCTGCAAACTGTACTTGAGTGATATCATTTTCTGCAAATGAGGTCTTCCATGTATCAATCGCCATCAGCAATTCTTTGCTACATTTACTTTAAAAAATATGAAGCATCCTGGACAAAATTATATAGAGTGTTTTAAAAAGTCCTTCTGGTACTAAAGTCATACTGTCGGTGAAATGCAAAAGGGGACCAGTTCCTTTTGTTTATTTGTTTCTTTATTCTAAGTCCAAATCCATGTCCCTCCTATTGACTGCAGAGGACACAGATTTTTCTCCTTTTAAAAAGAGCATTCCATGTTGCTGAAAAGCAATCATCTGGTGTGGTTTAAGATGCTTGCAAAAGGATGAACCAGGAGGGCCTTCCTGTGTGCCAGGATCGAATGTTGCAGTGTGTCCTTAGATCTCTTTGTTAAGGTGGGCAGCCCAGGTTTCATCAAGGGTTTAACTCCGTGGTGCTCCCAACCACTCAGAGTTCGAGAAGGCATTTGTTTATTGTGGTACTTAATATTATTAATGCCTTTGTCACCTGTGTCAGGCTCCCCAAAGCCACCATTGTGACAACTTGCCACCTTTTGCATTTTGCTGTCCTTCATCATAAAAGCCTGGGGGTTGAACTCTTGATAGTAACACAACCAGCCTCATAGGGCTGTGGCACCAAGGGGCAGAGCTTGTGAAAGGGACGTCTGGTATAGTGGTGTCATCTTCCTTTTGTAACTCTGATAAGAAAGATCACACAGTCTCTGGGAGTCACTTCAGCCAATTAGCACAGAGTGGTGTCTCGATGTGCAGGCACTGGTACAGTCTTTCCCAGCCTTTGAATTCACTGAGACTATTCTAATGCAAAGTCTTGAGACTTATTCATTAATTCATTTGGATAGACACCTTCTAAAAAGCATCACTAAAACACTGGAAGCTGGAGAAAGGCCCCGAAGTTCGTTGATCTGCTCTGTTAAGGGATGCTAACATTTCCAGAAGTCTGCATTCTACAGTATTTTTAGCTTCCCTCTGGGGAAGACTTCACAAATCAGCATATCTGATTGGGGATGCCCAGGAATCTGTGTGCATGTGTGTCTGAGTCGAAACATTAGAGAGCACTTCAGTCAATAAAAGAAAATCACATTTTAGGGCTAAAATAAGCCAAAGAGAAATTTAACAACAATGGCAAATTGACATCAAAATAAAAACCCGTGTCTGCCTTGATCACAAGGCGCCAAGACCAAACAAAATTAATGTCTCCCGACAGGGAGAGACTCTATTCCCATCATTGATGCTACTTGTTAGCGTTGATGCTTCTGTACGTGGTGTTTGGAATAACATATACAAGCCTTGATATAAATTTCTCAGCAGTAGTATCCTTGTATAGACTGAATAAAGGTTATTTTCTACAGGGAGGTATCTTATAAGAAAAAACAGTAGGGGAGACCGTAGAAGTGAAAGGATCCTATGGTGCTTTTTGTATTTAACAACAATCAATGGGTTTTATGGAAAATCATTGAGCAAAATGTGAGCTGCAAGCTACCACCCCATACTGATGTTATTTATAACCTTAGTCTTAAACTGCAGGAAAAGTACACTTCTGTCCTTTGGGGAATACATTAAAAGTATAAAGAGCAGATAAAAAGACAGCATTTCATGGATCACCAAGAACAAAATCCACTTAAATGAGTTTAGAGTTGGTTTCTTGGCTGTTCCTGATGGAGGAGGACTCCTAAGGCACTGCCCAAGAGGAAAAAGCTCCTACCGAGTGCCTCCCGTTCCCTCATGCATAAACATGGGATTAGTGCAACACATGCATGCGTGGGGGCTACTCCTGAAGACTTAACCCGGATCAACTCAACACAACCAAGGCTGGATTCAGTCACGTATTTAATGTGGAGGGAGGGTGTGGGTACAGTTAGGTCAGATTCACTACCTGTTTGTAAACATTTAAAGCAGGTCTTTCCCCCTTTCTTCTCTTGTTTTCCTTTCTTCTACCTTCCTTTCTGCTTATAAAGTGGAAAGTATACTATTTTTTTTTAAAGTATTACTTATTTTTATAAGTAATAAAATTTCCTCCCACGAGATAGTGAAATTTGTTAAAGTATGTATTTCGTGGGAAACCTTGGAGCCATCTTTGGAGAGTTAACAGTAGGGTGGATTAGCAGTTTTGCGTTTGCTCAGGATGCCCATGTGTGGACAGGAGTTAGCATTCTCGTCTGGCAGGGGCACCGAGGAAAAAGGAGATCCCTGCCCAGGACAGCTCTTTTCAACCTGTCAGCCTTGGAAGTTCATGGAGTTGATAGGAGTTAGAAGACAGAACCCCTCAACTCTTCACCGACACCCCACTTTGCACTGATGTCACCAGTCCCAACACACAACCACCCCAGCCTTCATTACCATGCTCCGTTCCTCCAGTTTGCCCACCCCAAGAAGAAGAACTGAGCTGCAAGAACAAACAAGGCCCGGGCTGGCCCGTGTCCACGGCATGCAGAGCCTGTTACCTGCAGATGGCTGACTGGCTGTATGCGGGGCCCTCTGTGGCACTGAGGGCTTGTCCCACCTGAGTCTGTGTCAGGCCAAGGGACAGGCGTCGGATTTTAAAAGCTTTGGCAAACTCTCGAATCTCCTCCAGATTAACCCCGTCCACCTCACCCGCTGCCGTTTGAGGATCTGTGGAGATGTTTTTAAAATAGGATCAACACGTCAACACAAAGCCCGTCAGGATGTTTATCACCGAGCCGCCATAGAGCGATGGAGAAATCATCACAGAACCTCCTCTGTCTCTCATCCTTCAGTATACCTTCCTCCTTCACAAGCCATCCTTCAAGGACCTCCTAGCCCAGATAAAGCCATTTCTGTTTACCCTGCCTCTTCCCAAAGCCAGAGCGCACTTCTTTAGGGTTTAACAACGGAAGCCAGAACGGGCAGGAAACTCTTGCTAGAGGGATTCAGCCCTACTTTGTTGGTAAGCCCATTCATACACTGTGCAAAAATAAAAACACAAGGAGCTTTCTGTTTGAAATGTACTAATTGGAATTCTCCATGCTAACAGTCGCCTGTGAAGGAAACAGCGCTTTGTGGTTTTCTCTCACCTGATTGCCATGTAGCCAGGCTAATAGATGGTAATCTTGCCTCATTTCTTATGTTCGCATTACCCCTCAGAAGAGCATGGTTATGAAGCTGTGAGAATAATATTGTCTTTTTCCCCATAGCGCTTTACCCTCGCAGCTGCCTTTGTCTCCTGAAAGGGCACATAATAAAAACTGCCTACCACAGGAAGGCTCCTTTGGTGCCGGATAACGCGGTCAATTTAGGACTTATCAAGGGAAATGACACAACAGCTGGAGAATGAAACTTTCTCCCCCCTGGCTACTGATCCCTGGATAAATGAAAGCGTTCACCACGCTGGAGCCAGCATGGGCTGGGCCTGGTGGCAGATTTCAGCGCAGCTCAATGCTGCCTGTAGGGAAGCTGGTCCTGTTGCAAGCCATCCCTATTGTTCTTTGCCTCAGTCTTCTGACTTAGCTGAAAGTTGTCCTTCCTCTTTCTGCACAGCAACCCATCAATTTCAGAGAATTTCTGTTCTCATCCCAGGACCGTGGTCGACTCTGTTAGTCTTCCGGGTTCAGTGCTATATACTCCCTGGCCGTTAGCGAAAGAAACGTTTGTGTCCTCAGTGACAGTTTTAAAAATGCTTTTATATAAGGAAGACGAGTCTGTCGGGGAAGGGCCTGGAGTGCTGTGGACAGCTCCTCTCGGTATGGGGCTGTGGGGGGAGTGATCCTTCCCCTGTGGAAAATGTACTGCTGATGGAAGGAGTGATACAGATACACATTATACATCTGTCTTCACATTAAAAACAAATCTCTGGCTGGGTATCGGAGCCCGTGCGTGTGGTGCTGAAGCAAGAGGAGTTTTGAACTCCAGTCCAAGGCAAACAGGGCAGCTCAGGAAGACTGCTGAAGGAGCCCTGAGGGTTTTTGTAGCACTAGGTCCTCACTTCCTCAGGGAGAGATTAGAGAGTGGTTTGGCCAATGTCGACAGCTCGTAAGTAGTTTTAGGCGACTCCTGGTTTCTGAGTGGAGTGGGAGGCATGTACTCACAGTTTATTTGGACTTAGGTCCAGCACTAATGCATGAAAAACTTACAGAAAAATGACAGAAAACCATCAGGAACTGGTGGCAGGAGTGTCATTGGGGATATAAACTACACTTGAGGGCAGGGCCCATGCCTGCAGTGGATGACCAACGTGAAACAAACTCAGTGGAATGTTTGGAGGCTTTTTGCTGTTTTTTTTTTTAATTTTTTTAATTATACAGGTCTTTTGTATATATATTATGATTTCTGATTTTTGTGTTTCTGTGGGATTTCTCTGTGAGCGAATGTGTGTGTGTGTGTCTGTGTCTATATTTCTTGTGTTTTTTTGGCTCTTTTGCTTCTGTTTGTTTGTTTTGTCCTATTCTGGTTTGTTTGTTCTAATTTTATCATTATTTTGCAGATGCCTGTTTGTTTTCTAATAAGAGAGGGAAAGGGTATGGATGTGTGTGGGAGGGAAGGTGGGGGGGAACCATAATCAGAACATACTATATGGAAAGATTTATTTCAATAAAAATGGAAAAGAAAATACAAAACAAAACAAAAAGCTGGCAGTGTGATTCTACTCAAGATATGCAGAGAAGGGAAGAGGGGCAGGAGGGGTCATCTTTTCAGAGAATGTAAGGGACATAGGCTGGAGAAGGAACTCATCTAAGTGGTGAGCGTCATGGGGTAACACATTGACAGATTGTTATGTATGGCAGGACTTCGTGGGCTGTTTATAAAGTTGGTTTGGATGAATGAATTAAAATCCATCTTTTCCTACACTCCCCCCAATTTCTTTCTAGAAATCTGACATCCAGTTAATGAAAGACGTTTGAGTGTTTTGTGGCCTCTGAATTTTAAAGTCCACCAGCATAGTGGTGTGGAATGGTTCTCGGAGTTCACAAAGAATTCCAGGAGACCACATGTGCACACATCTGCCTCTGCCTCTTGTCTTATTTACTCATTAAAACAATCCCAGAATTAGGAGCTGCAAATGAATACTGCAGGAGACTCACATATATTTGGAATTAGCTGCCAACCATAGAAAAAGGGAGTTTAAAGACGAAGCAAGATTTTGGTGTTCTTCCGGGGCAGAGGAGCTACATCGTCAGCGGTCATGTCCAGTCACGTGGAATGGATACCCACTGCGCCTTGCCCCTCTTCTCCAGCTCCCCTCACATTGGCTGTGAGCTGTGAGCCTGAGTTTAGATTGGGCATTCTTGTTGCTTGGTTCTTAGGTGTTACAGTGGCTGTTGTTACCACAGGCCACAGTACATAAACAGGACAGATTCATAGAAAATCTATGTTGAAAAGCAAACAAAAAAATCATTGTGGAAGGAAGAATTATTTTATAATCTTCTTTTGCTTGCTTGTCTTCATTTTTGCTTTTCGGGACCGAGTTTCTCTGTGCAGCATTTGAAGCCTGTCCTGGCATTTGATCTGTTCAGGCTGGCCTTGAACTCACAGAGATCCATCTGCCTCTGCCTCCCAAGTGCTGATTAAAGGCTTGTACCACCACTGCCTGACTGAAGGAAGAATTACTAGGATTTAGAAAAAGTTCAAAAAGTCTACTTGCAAGAGGAGAGAGGCAAAGAATTAGCAGTGGAGGAATACTGATTTAGACTAGAGATGGGCGCTGGCCGGGACAGTGGAAGAGAAGATCGACCTAGTCTCTTCCAGAGATGGTGAGGTGTCTGGTAGCCTTGCACGTAACCGTGGACATTCAAAACTCAAAACTTAAAAAACAAAACAAAAAGAAAGGGAAGTCAGAGACTTCCTTGTACAGACTTGACTTTTAAAATGACACTTTTCTTAATTTGACAGGCTTGAGTCACCTGTGGGGGAGGGGCGTATTTTACAGGTAGTCCAGTGTTCCGACAGGGGGCTCTTCCTGCTCCTTCATGCATCTGGTCTGACCTTCTTCTTCTACCTTTGCTGAGTCTGGCTGTGGCATCCTCTTTGCACCACCACTTTTCTGAGTCCGTTCATGCTCTCATCCCCCATGCTTCATGGTACAGAAAAGTTGCTTGCTCATCAGACTGACGAGGCAGACAGGCCTGGCAAGGAGGAGCTCCTGAGAGGACCTTCCACCTCTTTCTTTCCTTCTGCACTGCATCTGAGAATACAAAGCAGTTGAGTCTGTGGGATGGGAAGGCCAGTGGTCTGTGATCGGGGAGAAAGTTTTCTGTCAAAGTAGATACCTCAGTGGGAAATAACCCTTTGGCTTTTACTAGTCACATCTCTAGCTTTTCCAAAATCAGTTGAGTTAAGCAACACAGAGCAGTCTACATCACTACTGATGCTGCCAGCGCACACAGCACTGCAGTGTGGGTGAGCTTAGGATGTGGTCAGCACGTTTAGGTAAATGTGTCCTCTCACCTTTTTCCTTTCTTACCTCCTCTCTAGATCATATCTCCTTGCTGATTCCCGAGCCTTGGAACTAAACCTGGTCACTTAATTGTGAAGGATTTGTTGGTTTTGTTCATAACTGTATCACTGAAAATAATAAGAGTTAAAAAGAACACTTTGGATGCTGAGATCCCATATACCGAGGGGTGTTGGAGTGGATGCTTAGATATCCATGGAGAGTTCAGAGAAGAAAGTTCCAGTTATACACACAATGTCTTCTATGAGGCTCTAATGAGCAGGCTTCCAGTTTTTATACAAAGCTTCAGGGGGCTTTATATAAACAGGTGGTAAAGGGAATGTGTGTATGTGTGTGTGTGCGTGCATTTGCATGCGTGCGTGTGCATGTGCACACACACGTGCTGGCACCTGCAACTCACAACAATGTTCTCTGCCTTTCAAGTACTGTGTTTATCCATGTGACCCACTATACCCAGGAATAAGAAGAATTTTTTTTTGAAATTTACACAGGGTGAGGTCTGGATCAAGGTCTGGAAGGAGAATTCAGCATCTTTGTGCAATTTGTTGATTGACAAAAGATGTGAGTCACTTGGCTTTCTTTATATTAGTGTTCTTACAAAGTTTGCCCCACAGAAGTCTCCTCATCCACAGAGGGAGCCGTCTGTGGACATCTGTTAGCTTTCTCTTGATTATCTGTCCGGCAGGACTGGCCTCGGACATCGGAAGGACACTGTCGCTGTTTCTTCGGTGTTCGTAACTGCTCAAAGGGCCATGATGCTGTGCTTGTGCCTCAGAGTTGGTCTCGCACTGTCTGGCTGTTGTACTGCGGCAGCAGTTCTCCTTGGCTAAGCGATATCTATTTTTCTGCTTGAGGAGGAGAGAAAGATACGCAATGTTGTGAACGGAAGCTTCCCCCGAGCATAGCTTTAACCCTCAGGCTAGCTCAGAGTGTCACATCCCACAGTGGGGAAGATTAACTCGGCTTCAATTCCCTTGTTCCTAGGGGAAGTTCGTCTTGAAGATGATTTGAGGTCAGTTTGACTGGGATCATAAGAAGCATCTTCAGGGCTTTCTCGGAGTGGATCCAGCAGCTCTAGCCAGAAACCTAGAGGAGAGTTTCTCTGGATGGAGGAGGAAGTGGTGGTCCTTTTGTAGAAGCTGTCCAAGATTAAATAAGCCCTGCACACAGAATACAGGCCCAAAGGATTAGCAGTATTGGCCAG